TATATATATATATATATATATATATATATATATGAATAACCATAGTTTTCATATAAAATGAATTAGTATAAGAACTACTCCACTGGGAAAAGAACGCCTAGAATATTGGTAAAGTAAGAAAAAAAATCATAAGACATACAGAAGAACCGAATTCCATGGTGAGAAGTACAACGGAAGGTTGGGGTCATTTTTCAGGTCTGGTGAACGTAGAGTACACAGACAATGTGGGTTAATTGCAATCGAAATCGCGTAGAATGAAAAATTAGGCATCGACCCAGGCGGTATCAGCGAAGGCTATACGACAACCGCCAATCAGGAAGCAAGGTGACTTCCAGCAACATTATGGGATCCGAAATTTAAACTTACACGTGTTACTTTCAAATTCGCAGTCTTGTTCTGGTGGACAAAATTATACTCTAATAATCACTTTCAACTTTCTACTAAAAAACGGACATTTCATATTGAACAACCCACAACTGCTTTAAAAGTACGCACCCATCTAATGTTAGACATTTGATCAGTGGGACATGGTCACTGTTGGTGTAGGTTTTTAATTAAAAGTCACGATTAAAGAATTATAAATGGCTCACCCATAAGACTCGGTCAAGTGGGGATAAACAACTTGAGTGTTTCCTTTCGTACCCATTGTGCCGGACTCTAGTAAGGGAAGCCGGTAGTACACGCACCGTCTATCCATATAACGTCCTAAACGGAACTGGGCTACGTCATGGTACTAATTTGGAAAAAAAGAAAAACCTCACGGGCGTCAATGTTGTCCAACGCATTCAATACTCCATCAAGGTCGGCAAAAAAGTCGTCGTTGAATACATGCTCAGTTTCGGATCCTACCTTTTCACAAAGAGCTTCAATTTGTATGTCCTTATTAAATGTTTTTACCGCTCTGGCAGCGACGACAGACTTCTTACTCTGGAAAAAAAAAATAAAGACGTTTACAGTAACATTTTAGAAGACAACGTAATACCCACCCCAACATCACTCATTCTAAAAAGGAACTGTCGATTTAGATTACTAATTTCAATTTGATCCATGTCAGTTATTTTTATAAGCCCACTTCCATCACAAGCCACTCCCATCATAGCTAGATTTTTTAGAAGTTCACATCCAATGGCCCCTAAACTAAGACATCTTGAATAATGGATAAAGCAAAATATTTGTAAGTAACCTCACCAGCTCCTACAATAAACCACTTCTGAGAAAACAGAGCTTCCTGGTATTTCCATCCGAAGACGGCAGCTTGTCCATCATACCGAGAACTACGCTAAATGAATTAAAATCTCCTTACCAGATTTTTAATACTGACCAACAAATATAAGTAATTCATATGCATCATACTGGTTTACAGTCTTCTTGAGTGAGTTTTGAACAATCAAACTCGTTCCAGTCGCCAAGGAGTGCATCATCACTGTCCAGATATAACCATTGTTTTAAGGGAGTCATATGGTGAGTAACAGCTTTCATTGCCTCTTGAGCAGCAATACCACCAACGGTGGAGGCAACAGTCACTAGGTTTCCAGCAGCCTAAAAAGAAGCACTTCAAAGGCAAAGATAAATAGTACTATAAATAATTAAGCAACGCTTATAGCCCAGCGATTTAGCGTCGCTCCGCAACACGCATGGGATTGATCCCGTGTCCAGGCTCACCAACCCTTCCATCCCTTCGAGGTCGACAAATTGGCACTAGACTTGTCTGGGAGAATAGCAGCACTGACTCAATGCATCGGTAGCCACAGCGAGTCATTGTTTAGGCCAGATATGTATTTCATCGCCTATAGCTATGATTAATAAAATCTAATCGCGAATCTCTCAGGGATTAATCAAGACCGAGAGCTTCATCCTTCCAACTGTTTTTCCTGATATTCCAAAGAGTTTAAAACGCAAACAAATTGTATCAGTCAGCAACTACGTGGGCTTTGCTCATGTCAACCTTACACAATAGTTACTAACTCAGAACACTAAAAATAAAAAAAAAGGTTCATCCATATATCCGCAAAATTCTTAGCAGAATATTCCCAATGTTCGCCACGAATTAATCTCCATTAACACGAAAGCAGAAGGAAACGAACTGCTCTAAACTCATTGTCGCAGATGCGGGAATTATAACATAACAGTTTTATGCGTAAGCATCGTCCATGTCAGCTTAAACTTGATCCAAACTACCCATGATTCCCTTTCACAACACACTCTTCACTACCACCAATGTCTATAGTTTCTTTTTACTTACTCTCGAAGGGGAGTCGATGGAAAAATAAGTTTGCTTTGTCGTTTACTTACATGATCCAAACACAAGAAATTACACTATTCATTAGTAACTGCTCTTTCCTTTTAATCACTGCGAAAAATAGTTGTCGTATGAAATTTCAGGATATAAAAACAGCGAAACATTCTAAATATATGCGGAAGCGACTACCAAAGGCCAACAGCACTGCGGATGAACGATGGGCGTTCACTGACAAATAGGAGACGGAAATGTTAAGCAAAAATGGAAATTGAGCAAACTAATACAGTACCATCGAGTAACTAAGATAAACTGAGGAAAAGTGACTCAAAGAGCGAAGAATATTGAGACGTTTTCATCCAGAACTGTAGTAGGGAGTTTGTGGTGAGGAAGAGAAGATATAGCTGACAATAAGTCCCATATAAAACAGTATACGTGGGGCAAAATTGCGTATATTACCATCCAGCCTCCAATGGAAATTAATCGTGTTCGCAGATGTGATAACCACGGAGTTGCTAGGACGTCCAACGATACTGCCTCTAGCACTACAAAGCTACCTATTGGGTTTTCCATGCAAATGTATACCATCATGGAATATGCAAGGGTAATGACAAATGTAGTCCAACAATGCATAGCGAAACGACGATGCCCATTACCGGAACGAATCTGCGTCTCAGTGCAAATACATGGTTGTTTTGGTTCGCTCTCAATCTTATCAGCAACCTGGTAACGTGTTAGGAAGCCGCGCAACTGACAGTCCCAGAACCTCTCATGTGAGGTATACGACATGAACGTGCCACAAACCAAAATTACCTGATAAGTAAAACGTTTCACAAGTTTTTCATCCACCAAAGCTCCGTCAGGTAGTTCCGCTTTAAGTAAAGTAACATCGTCATCACAACGAGGAAAAGGACGTCGTCCATGCTAAAGCGAAGAAAACTGTTGGTTTTTATTATGAAAAACCATTTCAACTAGAACCAACCTTCAACTCAAAGTCGTACAAAGCATTCCACAGTAAATGTAACTGCTTTGGATAATCCGGCTTTGCGAAGTCCCAGAAGACGAATTCTAGATCGGCCATTGATTCCGCGAGCGGCTTGTGCGAAACAAATGTAGGTACCTAAGTTTTTTTTGCACCGTGCGAGAATAATATGCATAATAAAATTCACACTTGGTCTCTTTAACGACTGGAATTCTATAAATAGTTTCCTTACAACCTAAAAATCGCCTTATTCAAAGAAATAGAATTCGATAGAAGAAGTTCACCTTCTTCTATTAAGTATAGCTAGCTGCTTACCTTCACTTGTTTAACACGTCCACCTTCCTCGTATTGAGACATTGTCCTCGTGACATCACCAATGTTGAATACGTGAGGTTCTGAAGAAAATAATTGGGACACTTGAACAATCGTTTAAAAAACCCCCAGTAACAGAGTTATCTAAAATGCGTTTACAGTTGTATACTTTTTACAGTCACTTTCACAGGAGCGCAGCCATTGAGTTCCGTCATTCCTTTAACTTCAGAGAATGTCACGTGATCCCCATCTTCTAATCCATGCATTTGATTTTCTAACGTCGTCACATCACCGGTTTCGGCATCAATATGCTCAATGAGGAACTAAAAGGTGGAAATAAAAGAAAATACTATACTTGACATTATACATCTGAGAATAACCTCTTTAACTTGCTCGCCGTTCGAGTCATCTACTCGGAAGGAGTCACCAAAGTCGTTAAAGATGTAGCTGTAGAGTCCACGGGCGTCTGTCACTACCATTCGACGGTTATGTGTTCTTACCCAATGAGAAATATCCAACTGCATTTTCCGTGGAGTGTCAGTTAACACAATGAGCTGAAACTCTAAGAACTTAGAAAATGAATGAGAATGATACGCATACTAACTGGAATACCAACATCAAACTGTTTAACCAAATCCTCAGAGAGTTCATCGAGGAGAAGATGACAACTGACGCTATCGTTGAGCTCAGCAAGCCTAAGAAATCTGTTTTCAACAGCAGCAGCACCAAGTAATAAACAGCAGGCAATAAAAGCCAAACGTAAGAAAAACCACTTTTCGAAACTGGCAGCAGCACGGTTTTTGCCGATATCGTCCTCTGTTAGGTAGTACTGCGCAGACAGATCTAACCATTCAGTATTCTTTACATCGTGGAGAGTAACACTCCTAATCCCTTAAAAGAAAAATGCTATACTAAATTCGCTATGACAGCTTTTCATTTACTGCCTTTTACAATTTTTCACGGCATGATATTATGTGTGATACAACCACAATGATGCTGAGATATTTGCAAAACTTCGGACCACAGGTGTTTGCGGTGGGGAACGAACGCGCTATCACCTTTTTCGGAGGTCAACGCGTTCACCACCACACCATGCAAGTCCTTCGTTCCACCTTTTCTAGCACTTTTTTCTTCGTTTCTGGCACTGGTGGATAGAAAACTAGCTGAGAAACGAAGAGCTGCATGGTGTGGTTGTGAACGCGTTAGCCCCCGGAAAGACTGATAGCGCATCAGCTCTCCAGTGAAGACACCGGCCGTCCGCAGTTCTGCAAAATCTCAGCACTACTGTGGTTGTATCACACATAAATTTGCTATGTTAAAAGCATAATATTTAAGAAAATAATTGACACCTCCGAGAATTAAATTCTTCGCCACTTCCACGCCAACTGCACCCAAACCGGATACGATGACAGATGCTTTTCTGAGATTGATCATTGCGGATTCTCCAAGGGCATATCTACAAATACGTTGTCAAAATTATGTTAATGGAAATGTGTCGCAATTACATCAAAATGCTGAAAAAAAGACATCTGTCTTGAGTAGAGATTCGTATCCAGCCCGTCAGATCCTGTTTTCATTGCCTCCTGTCCATTTTTCATAGAAGCCATTGTTTTCGAGTTAGAATTTGCGTTTGAGTCCTTGAAAGTGAAAGAAGAATCCTGGAACAAGAAAACTAACATGCAACAAGGAATTTTCAGGAGATAAAAAAACTGGAAAAAACGGTGAGTTCTATAGCGCATAAGGCGCCGTAATTTATAGCTATCTAATTGCTTCTGCTTCCAAAAAAAGGAAAAACTTCCGGGATTGCGGAAAGTGAACCAATTAGCGGAAGTAGAAAGCAACACCGTGTTAATATCTCGTTGTCGCAATGAACATATCAGTGGTTAATCTCACATTTGGCCTGATAGAATGGGTTCCAAACTAATGGAAAAAGGAAAAGGTTGAACAAGCAGAGCTTCACACTCTGTTCATTTAAATGTAGCCGTTAATAGACATCAGCGACACAGAAGTGCCCAATGACTTCAACAGCTCCCTACTCCTTCCAACCCGGATACTTCTTCAGGGTCAGAGAAATAATGAGGGTGTATGAATGTCGTTTTCTTGTACAGCACTTGCGAGGTTTTTAAACAGCATACATTTACTTCCATAGAAAAACACAATACAATACAACGCTAGCTGACGTTTCGGCAGTATCGCCTTCTTCAGAGTCTGGAAGGGTATACTGATATACGTTCTACTAGACCGAACGCTTCAATAACACTTACAAAAAAACGAAAAACTCTCTGGTAATTACATGATCAACAACTTCTCGAAAAAAAACCCACCGCTTTTTCGTGACTTCCAATGAGGAAGTTTAGAACAGCTGATTATAGTCGCATGTGGTTGACGACTGCAGCATCCCACATCAAAAATCGATGCGAACATACGGGAATAGGTCGCATATAACCTCTTGGCATTCATCCCTGCTATTCATTGTAGGGTTTTTTCGAGAAATTGCTGATCATGTAATTACTAGAGAGTTTGTCTTTTTGTAAGTGTTATTGAAGCGTTTGGCCTAGTAGATTGTATATCAGTATACCCTTCCAGGCTCTGAAGAAGGCGATACTGCCGAAACGTCAGCTAGCGTTGTATTGTACTGTGGTTTTCTATGGAAGTAAATGTATGCTGTTTAAAAACCTCGCGAGTGCTGAACAAGAAAACGACACATTCATATTCCAATACCGAGGTTAATAGAAAGTCGATCCTGGAAACTACTACAAAATGAAGGTTTATTTCTACTTCTTCTGAGAGGAGACATCCAACCGAGCATGCCAGGAGATGTCGATTATCATGTAAACCTAAAGTGTCTTCCTAGAGAGATTGGTCTTATTCATAGCGATTCTAAACCATTTCACAAGAGTATTGCTGGTGCGGCACAGTTGAAATAATAATACAAAGGGGAGCACTGCGATTCGTAGTAGGGAATTCATCATCGACAAAGTTATTTACGTTAAGAAGCCCGACAATGACATTTAGAATCTAGCTAAAAGTAAACATATGGCAATCACTACAACCGCTTCGGAAGAAGTCTCCAATCACTAAAAAGGTAATCTCTAATTCACTGTTTTTCTTGACAAGGAAACATAAGACTGTTATTACAGCATTTACCAATCCAAGGTACCTGACAATTCGGCGGTTTCACCATTTTCAGGGCTTGCAAGGGTCAAATTGACATGCAGTCCACACATTCAAACACTATCACAACCTTAGAAGATAAGATAATACATAAATGATTATTCTCATAGTGAACAGCTTCTCATAAACACTCACAGTTTTGTTGTTGTAAACAACGTGAGTGTTTGAAAGAAGCTGTTCACTATACAAATATTTAGTGCTAAATTTCACTTGCTGAGGTTGTGAAAGAGTTTCGCTGAGTAGAATGATTGTCAATTTGACCTTTCCAGGCTTTGAATGAAGCGGAACCGTTGAAGGTCAACAATCATGTATTATTAATTAATAAGTGCAGCAGTGACAACCTCGTGTTTGTTCATCAAGGAAATCTCTCTTCAACCCACAAAAGAATGCAAAATACCAGTTGTGAGCGCACAGAAACTCTTTAGTACGCTGATATCGGAACTACAGGAAAAAACATCGTTCTGCCAGAAAAACACCAATCAAAGTGAGATCGTGTTCGTTTCGGATCACTCTTAGCGACAATGAGCTATCCAAGCGGTTGAGGGAACAGTGACACACCTGCAGTACAAAAGTCAGAAAATTTCGGTACATATGGCATAACGCACAGTGATACATTTTGTGAGAACTCGACAACAGGAAAGATGCTGCATTTAATGCAATCATAACATGCAGGAATAGCCGTCACAATCGCGTAGCAACCGAGTAGGAACCTAACTGTTACTAGGTAATATGCATATAACTGGAACAGATTGACCCAACCAGCCAGAAGCTACCACGTTGCTCACTATGTCAAAGATAAAAATCTAACTTAAACCTCTACCGAACCGGAATCATTTCAGTGGGTTCGTGACATCCTCAAGAACGTCGACATCGAAGAGGTTAATCATATAATCCGAGATGTTCTTGTGAATGAACAAACACCTACCACTAGCGCATTGGTCTGGAACGACGCATGAAGATCAGTAGTTCTGGGTTGACGTTTGGCACTTATCTTCAGGACTGCGTACAACGCAACCCATGTTGCTTCATTTCCACACCATTTCAACCTTCTACAACTCCATGTGGTTCCCAGACAGGCTTAGAAAGGGCTCGACCGCAAATTTCGAAGCTCACCTTCAGATTATCACTCAATTCGACGACGCGTGCCTTCTTCGTAGGCGGCGATGAAGTGTCCACGGCTGCAGATGATATTTCGGCCAGAATGGTAGGCATAAATATTCTTGACGCCTAAAGAACGAAATCAAGGTAAGCGCCAGGATGTGAGTCTTAGATACCGAGCACATACGAATGAACTTGTTGCGCCAACTAGACCACTAGTGCGCGCTGCTGAGAAAACAGAAGATCGACCCTCCCAGCTCGAAGACGACACACGCAACTTGTATACCCTGAAATATTAAGCACGATTTTCTGTGAAAATGAGCTTCCAATACAAATTCAGAACTGGTTCTAGAGATCAGCGTTTGTTTAGCACGTCGTGGACTTGACACAAACCCCGTCCTGTCTAACACAAAACACAACTGAGGAGCATGGGAACCCCATGACTATTCATATTAAACGACGTGATGCTACTCGAAAGAATACACATTACAATGATCATCCGGTCAAAGCAGAAACACAATTGTACCGAAATCGATGGCCACGACAGCGAACTTTCGGGACGCAGCGACCGCGGGGCTACCTCGGAGCCGTTCACCACAGAGCGAGCCATGTCCGCGGAGCGCAAAATCCGAACCATGTTCCACTCACCGCCACTACCAGTCTGGCAAACTCTTAATGGAGGTGAACACCTCCCCCTTTATACTGTACCTGAGGATTGCAAACTAAAGCCTCAACGACAGAATCCTTTTCGGTAATGATCGTGGTGGAGTTGAATCGTTCACCTTTGATGCAGAGAGGATTTAGGAATTATTCTTCCTATCATTTCATGCACCTTTTTACTCTCTTCAAGTGAGTTAGTGAACTGGAGTGATTCTTCTTGTGATTGTGAGCTGGTCGCTTATGTGAACATTGTTAAAGGTGTGGTTACTAGACCAAGCCGTTGTCTTATTGGAACCGACCAAGCTTTACTGCCTCGCGGACATCCTTATTTGGACTGTAGTTTGTTCTTCTTGCTACCTACTTGGATAATTGGATGGCCGGTCTTCACTGTTTGTGCGGGCCACAGCATAATCTCCATTCCTTCGGAGTTTTGCTGGTTTAGCCATTGTGGTTCCCTGGAATAATGAGGTCAGCATGGCCAAAGTCTGCTCCAGATCGTTACCACCACAGGCAGTCGCCGCTCTTGTGAATCAGAGAGAGATTTGCCACCATCCGACTTTGATATCAGGACAGTGATGGATCCCGCTATTGGTTTAGTCTTAGCTGGGCTTCCTGAAGGAATCGCCGGAGACCCTGCTGGTGTGATAAATCCTCCCGCTGTATATCGCAGCCTGACACCCAGGAACACTTCCCCGCCACGATGAGGCGGTGAACCGTTGGGAGAAGTTTGCTCTTCAGTGTCGATAGTGTACAATTCATTACTGTTTTTACCAATTCTCGGAATAGTATCATATTTTTGGACACATTTGCTTCAAAGAAAAATCGCGTACGTTCGTTTCTCGAAGTCTTGACTCTATCAGTAAACTGCAAACTCGGCACTAATATTTCTTTTTGGTGATATTGAGATATTTGCAAAACTCCGGACCGCAGGTGTATGCGGTGGGGAACGAACGCCCGCTATTGTCCTTACCGGGGAGTAGCGCACTTCACCACCACACCATTCGGGTCCTTAGTTTTGCCTGTCTCTCAGCTAGTTCTAGTAGATCAATGCCGATTTGGGCTCCCCAGATCAATCCCGTTGACGGGTGATTGCTGATGGCAAAAGATCAATAGAACTAGCTGAGAGACAGGCAAAACGAAGAACCCGGACGGTGTGGTGGTGAAGTGCGCTACTCCCCGGTAAGGACAATAACGCGTTCGTTCCCCACCACAGACACCTGCGGTCCGGAGTTTTGCAAATATCTCAGCATCATTGAAGTTATATTTCGCATTGTATACCAAAAAAGGTTAAGATTTCTTTTTAGATTACCGGATTTATTGAGCCTGTAAGTTCGGCCTTTTAGCATGCTTCTTATTGTTAAGAAGTTGAGTCCAGCAGTGTAGGCATGAAGTATTTGTTACTTTTTGTTCGCAGTTCCTCATTTTCACTGTCAAACCAATATGTACCACGTTACAATATGTTGTGCAAGCCTATATAGAGCGCAGATGATGAAAACTACATTATGTCGACATGGACGGTCAACAAATTCGAATGGCAATGTCTAGAAAGGAAGCGGATGGAGCGGTGGTAGTTCATTACTCCGACGGCACAAGAGACACACCCCTTGCGATGGATCAACCCCTCATCGCGCCACCAATCCTCTCACCTCCACGGGGTCGGGAAATTGGTGCTAGACTTGTCTGCGGTAAACTCAATCCCCTTCCAATCAACGTGGGAACGCGCGAACACGCTGTCTGACGCTTCCAGGGAGAATCGACTCGACCAGCATTCAACGACATTTGTGACGAAGACGGGAAAGTCCTTAAG